AACTCATTAGGATTGGCTACATTAGGGGTGTGTGACCTAACATGCAAAGGAGTTCCTGCTCCAAAAAAAGGCCCTGGGTTTTGACAACAAAGTAAACAGAATAAGAAGCAAAAGGTGGGTGTGGCTGGATGACCACACTTCTGGTAACATGGGGTGTGTGGCCTAATATGCCAATGAGCTGTGCTATCAGGGGTGTGGCCTAATATGCTAATGAGTTCCTGCTGTTGGGTGTGGCCTATTATGCTACTGAGTTCCTGCTGGTCTTTTTCTACAAAAAAAAGCCCTGGTTGTAATTCTGAGAAAACTCCAGGCCCCATCTGGAGAATGGTAACCTTAGTTTTCCCTTAAATTACCATCGTTCATTCAGATTAGTTTTATACCCCTGAATGAGGAAAATCACCTGAGCAAGGGTCTCTTTTAAGAGTGCATCAACACAGAAAGTGCTATAGTACCCCATTGAGAGTGTCTCTGGGAAAGGCTAGGAACATTCCGCCTGGACTCCTTCTGAATCAGTTCTGTGAAGCCAGATGTACAGACTGCACAGTCCAAAAGAGCTCTACATTGGATCCTAGCAATCATGTAGCTCAGGTATGTCCAACAGGTAGATCGCGATCTACCAGTAGATCGCGGAGGGGTCAGAGGTAGATCACCAGCCCCACTTGGTCTCCTGGTTTGCTGGACAGGTGTTTGGGTTGGGTTTTTTTTGATGATTGTTTGGTCTGGATCAACACCTGACCTACATTTAACACAAATAACTCTGAATAAAAGTTAAAGAAAGTTATTGAGACAGTTAAAGAAAGTTATAACTCAACAAAAAATTAAAAAATGTTCACAGTTCTTTCTGGATCTTTGTCTCTCTGTTTTGTTTTTGCTTATTTTGCTTACCAGCAAATGACAGAAGGTGCATTATAAGTGGGGGGGGTGTGTGGAACCCAACTTTAGTGGGTTAAAATCTAATTTGAAACTAATTTGAAACTTTATTTTCATGGGGGTAGATCACCGGCACTTTTGGCCGGAAAAAATAGATCACTACCTGTTCGAAGTTGAACATGCCTGATCAGGGGTCATTTCGTAGAAAAAGAGCTAGGGGGACTCATTAGCATAACTCATTAGCATATGCCACACCCCCTGACATCACTGGAAGTGTGTCATAAGGCCACACCTCCTGACATCACCGGAAATGTGTCATAAGGCCACACATCCCGCCCCCAAAGGTCCCGGCCGCTGGTGCCGGCCTTGCAGCTCCACTGCCGAGCCCCATGAGGGGCCCGGCGGTGGACCTGCAAGGCCAGCGGGAGTGCAAGGAAGCCCCGCGAAGGCCCTCCCTGGCCCCAGGCAGGCAGGGGTGGGGAGAGGCAGGGAGGAAGCAACTTACCTTCCCTCTTCTCCTGCCTCCTCCTGGCTGAATGAGGGCCGGAAGCGGGGCGGCCGGAAGCAGGGGGCGGAGCTTCGTCATGTGCCCCGCCCCCCGTACCTCACCCGGGGGAACTGCGTTCCCCCGCGTTCCCCCCTGAAATGACCTCTGTGCCTGATGTAGATGAGTTAAGGTTGGAGTTCCTGTGTTTGTGTGCTGTGGGACTGGGAACTTGGTATACCATAATAATGCCTGAAATAAGTAATCTCAGGATTTCATGGCAACCATGGAATTGTCCCAGGTTATTTTATGGCCCTACACATGAGAAAGGTTATATGCCTCTGAGTATGAGACCTAGGTCCATGCCACACGGCAGGGAAAACACCGGTCAAAGTGCGGCTAATTAGAGCCGCACCAAAATAGAGACGCTGTGGGCGGGATCCCTCAGATCCCGTGAGCCACGCGCCGTTGCTCCCCGGCACGATCAGATGCCGGGGAGGAAGAGACAAGTGGGAGGGGGAGGCTGCCCAACTGCGCATGTGTGAGCACGCGCCGTTTCGCCAGGGGCCGGGGATGCGCCGGCGGCAAGACGCGCCGGCGATCCCACGGCCAGCCGTGATGCGGACCTGTCGGGGGAAGAGCCGGATCGGGAACGGGCCCGCAACACTTCCCAGATGTTGCGGTGGGATCGCGCCCGTTTGCTGCACCCCTAATCCGGCCCACTCCCGACCCAAAACCCCTCGTGTGAACAGGGCCTGAGTAGGTTTTTAGTGATCTTTTCCCCCATGTGGAGAGCAGGAAGTCCCAACATTTAAAGGGATTCCCACATGACATCATGCTTATTTTGAGTTCCACATGTGGGATTCCTGTGGCTTTCTCCTTTACACCAGATTTTTTTTTAAAAAAAAGATTCTTTGATCTGATTCAAACTGGGAACTGTAAAGTGGCTGTGGGGAGAGGGGAGGAGGAGCTTAGCTCCACTTTCAAAGCAGTATATGGTATTCCCCCCTTTTAAATTTAACTTTGGGTGTACATTTGTGTGCACATGTAGGGTTAGATGTGTTGCTTTGTACCACAACCACATACACATTGTCAGTGCATCTTATTTATTAAGAGTGTTTGTGTCTCGCTTTCCCTTTATAGTGCAAGGCGGTTTATAACAGCCATCAGATCAGCGAGATAAGAACAATTCAGTTAAAGACAACCAGTAGAATGATCAACAACAGAAGGGACATGAATCCGTTAGCAGCACAATCAAAACTGGAGAATATTATCAAGATTAGAGGCTGGTACAAAATTACCCAAACCAACTAACTTAACCCAACACCAGCTGAAACAAAATGTGCTCACTTGGGGGTCTTACTATAACAGCAGAGAAGGTGTCGAATCTCCCATGAGAGATTATATGCAATTGTAGCACTGTCAAAGAGCAGGACCTCTCCTCAGTTGATCCCCACCTTGATTTTGTTGAGAGGTGACCCGCTGTTTATATCACTTCCAGCAAGATCCTTGAACACTTGAGACTAGCATGGTAAGCACTTGTCTGAAGTTTCCCTTAATGGCAGGCAATGTTCCCTCTAAGCTATGGAGTCTTGTGAGCAAAAGTTCTACTTTGTGAGCTACTGGCAATAAAGTTGTGAGCAAGCTATTTGGCTACTGCATAAATTAGTTTGCTCTGGAGCCATCCTTCCTGAGCCAAGAAAGAAATGTGTGAGCTGGAGGCTAAAAAACTGTGAGCTAGCTCACACTAACTCAGCTTAGAGGGAACACTGATGGCAGGTACATTTATACAACATGTACTTTATAAACTCCCATCTCTAGTTCCAGCTCCTGCCAACCTAGCAGTTCGAAAGCAAGAAATTGCAAGTAGATAAATAGGTACCCCTTCGGTGGGAAGGTAACAGCGTTCCGTGCGCCTTGGTGTTTAGTCATGCTGGCCACGTGACCACGGAAACGTCTTTGGACAGCGCTGGCTCTTCGGCTTTGAAACGGAGATGAGCACCGCAACCCTAGAGTCGGACTCGACTGGCTTTCGAGCAAGGGAACCTTTACCTTTACTTTATAAACTGTAGTGTTGTGCACTTAAGAGTTGTTGTATTTCTATGACTGTATGTAGGCAAGTAACAAAGTTGGAGAACAGCACCAAGTTCAAAAGCTGTTATGGAGCAATCAAAACTAACTAACGTAACCCCATGCCAACTGAAACAAAATGTGCTCACCAGCTGTCTTACTACTGGCAAAAATGGTATCACATCAAATCGTGCCAAAGAACATTTTTCTCTGAACAGTGACAGCACAGGTGAGCCTATGGTTTATAGAACTAGAGTCAGATGGCTTAGCTGCAGGTGTACAAACCGCCCCCCCTCAGGCCCCTGCATGCTATGATAATTCAGATTGGTAATCCTAGTCCTTTGTTGTTGTTCAGTCGCACAGTCGAGTCTGACTCTTCGCGACCCCATGGACTAGATCCCGCCAGGCTCTCCTGTCTTCCGCTGTCCTCTGAAGTTTGCTCAGTTTCATGTTCGTTGCATTGATGACACTGTCCAACCATCTCATCCTTTGCCGTCCCCGTCTTCTTTGACCTTCAGTCTTTCCCAGCATCAGGGTCTTCTCCAGTGAGTGCTCCCTTCTCATTGGGTGGCCAAAGTATTTGAGCTTCAGTTTCATTATCTGGCCTTCCAGGGAACAGTCAGGGTTGATTTCTTTTAGGATTGACTGATTTGATCTTCTTGCAGTCCAAGGGACTCTCAAGAGTCTTCTCCAGCACCATAGTTCAAAAGAATCTATTCTTCGGCGCTCGGCCTTCCTTATAGTCCAACTCTCGCAGCTATACATGACTACTGGGAATACCATTGCTTGGACCATGCGTATTTTTGTTGGCAGGGTGATGTCTCTACTTTTTATCATGCTGTTTAGGTTCGCCATCGCTTTCCTCCCAAGTAGCAGGCGTCTTTTAATTTCATCAAAGTCTTAAAAGATGATGCTGTTAAAGTGCTGCACTCAATTTGCCAGCAAATTTGGAAAACGCAACAGTGGCCACAGGATTGGAAAAGGTCAGTATACATTCCAATCCCAAAGAAGGGCAATCCTAGTCCTAGTACATCGCTTATTCTACGTTTCCTCATATTGATCGTATCTACCTGTACTGTGCTGTTTATTAGATTTATCTTCTTGTGGATTATTCTTTATGCTGTGTAATCCACTCTGAGTCTCAGTGAGAACGTTGGACTATAGGTACAGTAAACAAATACCACATTATCTTTTACAAAAAGAAAAGGTCAAGGAGACCACTTTAAAAGAAACTGCAGGCTCATTTTAGGAAGTGTTGCTTCTGTTTGATGAAAGAAGCACACAAGGCAGACCGACCTCTGGCAAATACTGTTTTCCAAAAGGAAAGCAGGGAGTGACTTAATTCCCTAGATTGATTTTGAGCTTGGCTATGCCATGGTGGATGTGTAACACAGTGTCATGTGCATAACCCCTCCTTTACTACACTGCACTGGCTGGGTTATCTGCTGTTCTGAAAACGTCACGCGGATTCTGTTATAAAGTGCACACAACAGATCGCTGAAGCATTCCTTTCCGTACAGGAGCATAGCCGCAGCTTGAGAGAGAGAGAGAGAAAGAGAGGCAGACAGAACCAGATATGTTTTACTCCGGGATCCTCACAGAGCCAACAAGAAAGGACGTGGACATGAGGGAAGCGGCATCTCTCCGACAACAGAGAAGAATGAAGCAGGCTGTTCAGTTTAACCACAAGGACTCTGCCGACCTGCTGCCATTAGATGGGCTGAAGAAACTGGGAACTTCAAAAGACACTGTAAGATGAGGGGTTCCAACCCCCACCCCCATGGATAAAATGTTGATTTGAAAGATAAATGTTAAAATGTGTTCTGTTAGTGTTCGAATGTTTAATGCTTAGAGGGTAATGAGCTTGTTTGCCTTTGAAAGCTGTAGGAAATTAGCATAATTAGCATAACAATTAAGCTCCTTGGGAAGGAGAGAGAGAGCAGAGGAGGCTTTTGGTTCACGCAGCCTTTCTCTCACTATTTGGTTGGGGGGGGGTTGCCTTTAGGAGATGAAAATGCATTGTGTTGTTCATGCGTACTGTTGCAACAAAACATTCTTGTGCTCCTTTCTTGATGATGGATTGTTCTGCTAAATGGCGTGGTTAAAGGCTACATGTCCACATCTTGTCTCTAACATGAGCCATTTTGATTTGTTCCAGAATGATTTTTAATATGAGAAACATTGATCTTTTTAAATATGAACTACAGTTAGCTGGTGGACCTTTGGAATTAAAATCTGGAGGTCAAAATGGCTAATTACATTTTGTGCTTGTGGTTTAACTTCCCCTCATTAGGGTGCAACCCGTGCTAACTACTTTTTCTTGGAAGGAAGTCCAGTTGATGTCAAATTGGGCTTGCTTCCTAATAAATGTTTCAGTTTGGTGAATTATTATTTAATGTCTAAGCATAGAACACATGTTTTTCCATGCATATCTTCCAGATCACACATAAATAGAAGCAAACATTAGAACATCACTCAGAGAGTGAAATAGTAGGGACATTTGTGTTTGTTTTTTTATGTTTGTTTTTTTAATTTCCTCTGGCGTGTATGTCTTACTGTACATGTTACATATATTTGACCTCACAATATGTGACAATAGATAATTGAATATGGTGAATGGTGGGGTTTATACAACTTTAACCTGGCGCACTGTTCATACTGCCAAGGATGAGATCTGTAATTCAGACCATACCATAGCTAAAATGACTGTGTTTATACGTTTCTCAATTCATAGCAAATATATCTAAAAACTATACCGGCCCTTTGAATAAAACTATGAATCTAGTTGAGTTCACAAATATGGCTTTAAACTGAACTATATTATCTGCTCCATGAGTACAAAGTGCTTGTTCACTCACATAGTATCTTTATTTCTCTTTTGATGGTGCAGTATTTAGATCTAGACTGAATGGCTTTAGGCAATGAGAGGAAAGGGTGTAGGATATGGTGTGTGGAGCCTTGTGCAAGGCCCAGAGATGTGAAGGCCCAGAAAAAGGGGTAAAAATTGGAAAAAATATAAAGAAGTTTTCCCCCCAAAGAGGGCCCCCCATTATTCTGATATAAAACACTGGGAAACATTGGGGAGCCCTGAAAAAAACCTATGAAATGTTTTTCTTTGAAATTAGTTAACCACTTAGCCTGAAAGTCTAAAGACACCCCCCCCGCCGCCCATTTCCACCAAGGAAACTTTGGGGAGCACTGAAAAAAACTCCTTGCATTTTTTAAAAAATGAAGTGCTTTCAAGACAACATTTTATTCTCTCAAGTATGAAAAACTTGACCCCCCTCCCCTCATTTTTCCATTGAAATGACTGGGGAACACTGAAAAAAACTCCCACGACACATTTCCTCCCCCTTTGTGAATGAGACAAATGTGCTAAAATAGCATGGAATGCAGCAATTCGCAACGCTGTCTCATTTTAGGATTGAGTGTATTTGTCATTTTCCTTGTAAAAAAACTAAGGGAGCAATCCTAAACAGGTCTACTCAAAATCCTACTTAGGTCTGTTCGGTGTGTTTTATTCCACCATAAACATGTTCTTAGGATAGTTTTGTGAGGCATTTATACTTTGGAATTCCCTAAACGTTTCAATTAATACAATTTTATATGCTAAATTATAAATTATGCATTTTATGCTGTTAAAACACCAAAATAGGCTGGCTGGAAAGTTATTATTGCATATATTTCAATTTCCCCCAAAATTTCCATTTGTTCACACATGCACGTGCGCGGGCGTACACACACACACGCAGGGGTGGGGACACAATGTTGCTTCCCATGGCTTCAAAATCTCCAGAAATTTTGCATCTCTAGACAAGCATACTTTACAGCAGAATTAAGATTTGTCTGATGGTGGCCCTACGAGCACTCTGCTCACCCAATCAAGCATAATTCCAAGAGGAAACTCAGAAATATTTGAAACAATGGCCCCATTCATACGAGGCAGTTTGGGCCGGGAGCGGGCCGGATTGGAGGTGCATCAGACGGGCGCGATCCCACGGCAACATCTGCCTGGCGTCGCGCTCCCGCCTTCAACCCGGCCCTTCCCCCGATGAAGCGCCTCAAAGATGAACCACCTACCTTCGGTGGTTCATCCGGTTGAGCCGCTTCATCCTCCCTGTGGGATCGGCGGCACGTCTTGCCGCCGTCACATCCCCGGCCCCCTGCCGTACTGCGGATGCTCGAGCATGCGCAGTACGGCAGCCTCCCCCTCCGACGAGTGTCGTCCTCCCCAGCATCTGATCGTGCCGGGGAGCAACGGAGCACGGCAACCGGGATCCATGGGATCCCACCAGGGCGTTTCTTTTTTGGCACGGCTTTTAAAAGCCGCGCCTCGCCCCGTCTTTTCCCTGCCGTGTGGCAGGGGCCAATGTAAGAGGAGTAGATATCCTAGAGCAGCTGGGACATTTAATACCAATTGTAAAAGGAGAAAAAGGCGTTGCAAGGGTTACAAATTGTTGGTGATTATGACTGTTTTAGCAATTTAGAAATTAAAGGTGAATTCCCCCCCCCCAGAAACAGAAGTTACATACCTGAGATGACTCTAAGAATGCTATGTCAAACGAGTTCTCAAAGCCATTTGGTTTGATAGCTCTTCCCCCTTCCCCACTTGCAAACTGAGTGGTTTACTAACAAGCCATGAATAAATAGATCAGGCTTTGATGACACAGCGAATCACAACAATAAATTTTGCATGGTTTGTGATGTCACACCAAAGCTTCAAGTCACACTCAGGTGGTTAAAAAGCCTGCCTCATAATGTTTGGGCATGTGAGAAAAAGAGCCATAGCATGAAAGTGTCTGCTTAATACTGATTTATCAGCCATGGATTCATTTGGAAGGCAGCCCCATCTCAAGACAAAAAGGAAAGCTAGTGTTGGTGACATTTGTCCCCCTCCTCTGTTACCCCTGACAAAAGCTGACATCAAGCCAGGTTCAGAAAATGAGAGGGTTGGGGTGGTGAGAGATTCCATGCTGCAGAACCACCTCATTCTAAAGCCTGAGCTAGCGAGGACACGCCGAAGATGTACAAAGCTTCCTGGGTCAGCTTATGTGTATGGATTGACCCTGCGTGGGACAGACGGAGGAGTTCCTGAAGCCATAGGGCACTGGCAGGTAATGATTCCCTCTGCCCCCAAAGAAGAAGAGAAGCCAAAGAACTTCGTTTCCATGAACTATAAAGGAATTAAGGCCGGTCTGACAACTGCAACGGAACATTACCTGTATCGCCAGGCCCATGAAGTACGCATCCAGGAACAGGATTACAAGAGGTTTCCAAAAGATCCACCTCGTCTTCCTGACGCGATGACCTATGGGATGCCGAATCGTCCGTCCACACCCATCACAGACCTTCTTCAGCACAAGTTCAAAGACGTATGGTTGCAGGAACAGCGAAATGCTTACTCAACTCACGAGGAGACAAAGAAGCTTCGGAAGAAAAGGCATGAGAAGGCCTATGATACGTTTGCCGTCACGATGAGGAGACATCAAATACCAGCAAAGCTGGATCCCCTGTGGCACCTGCCAAGATTTGGGAAAGTGCCTGCCCACCTTGACACTTTCCCCACTCGAGTAGATCGTGTGAATGCTTTCAAAGCCCAGGAAGAAGAAGCACCAGTGCGACATGGAACACTTGTTAAAGGCATTTATACGCATTTATAGGACTCCGGTTTATAGAACCTGTACAACTTGTGTCTCAAAAAGTGCATTTGCAATGCACATAGTCCCCCACGAGGACTGTGTGATGTCATTGACTATATTAAAATGAAATTTCTTTCAATAAGTTTTTTTTTTAAAACTAGGGAAATGGTAACTACAGGCAGAGAGCATTGCACTGCTAATGAACCTTAAGGCTGTTAATGTCAAGGAGGCAGAAAAGGACCGACTGCTGCTTAGATGTGGCATCACAACTGGTGGCGCTAACAAGACATTGAAACGGTGCACACAGTGAGCCACTGCTGCTATGCCAGCCACAGCCAACCTCTGTAGATGGCAGGATGGCGGTCTTGCATAAGCCTATTAAGTGCCTAAATAAGCAGAGCACAGAGATGCCAGACTGGGGATAACTCTTTGAGGCACCCCCAGAACCATCTATGTAAACACAAACCTGCCCTCTTTATAACTGGGACTAACAGGATTGCAGCTGACAGCTAGCACAGTAAAATGCCGCACAGCACGCAGCTTTACAGTGTTGCAATTACATAGGTCTTTGGAATTCTCTTCCAAACAGAAATGGAGACTGTAGAATGGTAAATTGGAGGCCTCTGAAGACTCATGATGGGAGAATGGTAAACCATTAGCAAACCTGTTCCATAGCACAATTGTTGAATTGCAGCACAATACCTAGGCCCAGGGCTATTTTTGGGCAGGAACTCACAGGAACGGAGTTCCGGCTGGCTCCTGAGTTGGCCACGCCCAGCAGGAACTCATTAGCATAATAGGCCACACCCAACAGCAGAAACTCATTAGGATTGGCTACATTAGGGGTGTGTGGCCTAACATGCAAAGGAGTTCCTGCTACAAAAAAAGCCCTGGATTTTGACAACAAACAAGGTGAACAGAATAAGGAGCAAAAGGTGGGTGTGGCTGGATGAGCACACTTCTGGTAACATGGGGGTGTGACCTAATATGCTAATGTGCTGTGCTGTCAAGGGTGTGGCCTAATATGCTAATGAGTGTCTACTGTTGGGTGTGGCCTATTATGCTAATGAGTTCCTGCTGGGCTTTTTCTACAAAAAAAGCCCTGCCTGGG